TTTTTTAATTAACCTTTTAACTTTTTTGTATCTGGTTTTAAAGACATCTTAAGACTGTAGTATTAAGACAGTAGTAATTTTTCCAAGTTTCAATTTCAACACACACACACACCCATACACACACAAATGTAAAAAGTATGCCGAGGTTAAAAATGGGGTTCCAAGAATGCAGAGTCAATTCTCCAGTAAAGAGATGAGAACAGGTTTTATGGAGCAACTGATTCCTCACTAGTCTTAACAGGAGGGAGAGTAAGAGAGAAATGTTATGAAGAGACTCTACAGACCATGGTGCCCAAATGTGGAAAATACGGAGAACGGGTACCCTAAGCAGGCTAGGCTGTCTGGAGAGATGAGACGTTAGATTGGGTGGAATGAGAAAGAATTTGGACATAGTAAATTTGTGGTGATGTTGAGACTTCAGCTGCTCTCCTCAGTACGGGGAGAGAGTGTGGGAGGCAGTTGACAACATAGGAGGTACGTAGACAGACAGGGAACCATATGCCTTATAGGAAAATGCTGGAACCATGATTCTCATAGTCTTGGGATTACGAAAACCTTTAAATGCTAACGGATCTAAATGCAGGTTAACACGTTTTGAAAAGTAATAACTTCCACTATATATGTGAGTAAACTAGAAAATTTTTGTGTTGTTCCGTTTTAGTGGACATTATTTACACAGGTAAAATCTGTGCCCAACCCTCCATGTCAAATGAGTCCCCGTAAAACGGGTGGACTCAAAGGCCTTTTGCCTCTGCGGTCAAAAGCCTAAAGAAATCTGATCACAAAGATTGATAATAACACATCTCAGCACTAACATGGAAAAGTGGTTACCTGTAACACAGGTCTTCGAAACATGGCTTCTACTTTTCTTTACCTACAATCTAATCTTTAGTCTTTTCCTAAAGGGGAAAAAAAAAAAACAGAAATGAACACTCCATCTTATAGCAAAAGCACCAATTCACTAACTCCCAATTCCTAACCGCACTCTTGATTTTTTATGCAAACCTTATGACTATAATATATCAACATTCTGGCACTTTTGACGAGGATCCCCTCCACCGCCCCCCCCCCAAAAAAGAAAAAAAACCCTTACCCCTTATGTCTTTTTTGATCCCCCTTAACTTCCTCTTCCTCCAA